ACCACCTTCGCCGCTGTAGTCCGCCCCGACCACGCCCGCCGCCGCCGACTTCCCCCAGGCCTCTACCACTTCCACCACTGCCCTCTGCCCCGACCACCTCTTCCTCCGCCCTCCGCCCCAGCCACCTCCGTCCCCGTCCTCCGGCCGAACCACCTCCGCCCATGTCTGCCCAAAACACGTCCTCCATCGCTGCCCTCCGCCCCGACCCCAACCTCCCCTCGGGCGCGACCTTTCCTCCGCTCTCGCGCGGCCTTCCATCACCTCCGACGCGGCCTGCCTTCTTCTCCGGCGCGCCTGCGCTCTGCTCCGTCAGCCCCGTCCCGACCGACCACCCGCATAGCGGCCGACATCCCGTGCCACCGTCGCTCTGTACCCACCCTCCATGGTGGACTCCCGCTGTCGCCAACAGCAGTTCGCTCCTGCACTGCCTATCCAGGGTCGTGGCTGCCCATCCTTCTGTCCCGTATATCGCTCGCCACCAGCCGTTGTTCTGCCTTCCCTACCCAGCGCGCTACAACTCCCGATTCCTCCCACAAGATAGTGGCGACTGATGGACACTCTGGCAACAAGGAAATTTTGTTGTGCCATGTAGGTTATGGCAGCGACAAGATTTCTCCCTTCCGGCTGTCCTAATGTGTGCATTACTGTTGCAGACAGAGAGTGAGAACGGCAGGGGCATTTGTCTTTGAACTTCCATCTAGAGGTGTGACACCCCAAAATTTTAACCTTGTTTTACTAATTAAAATTTTGCCAGCAAAATTAAACTTTTCATTTTTCTGGGTTTTCTTTGATTTCAGTACCATCCTTTCTTGGATTTTTATGGAGTTTTATCCCAAGCGAAAGTTTCCAAATATATTACTGGACTTGTTTTCTCCCTCGAGAAAAACATTTCTCTTAAAAGTGGATTTAATCGCATAACTAATTCTCCCTGAGATTTATTCCTTGAAATGATTTTTTTAACAGTTTCAGGGCCCAATTTGCACTGCAACCTCTTGATATATTTATCTAAAATTCCAACCAAAATTTGGAGATGTCATGTGATGTTTTTGAATCACTTTTATGGAAAAATATAATTCATTCACTTAATATTTTGAGCTCTACACCAAGTTTTAAAATCTGGTCCAGTGAGCACTTTTACACTGCAACCTAATTAAATATTTCTTTAAAGCCTCCACCAAAATTTTGGGATGTTAATGGAAGTATATTATTATTATACTTTATGCAGAAACCCTTTTATGTTCTTTGAAAAATTTGAGTGAATCAACCTCTTTTGCTTTCTGGTCCAGTTTGGCTTTTTCTACTGCAACCTTAGTTAAATTTCCTCTAGTACTCTTGAGCTTTCTCCTGCTTATAGCCCATGCTACAAAACCCTTAAGTCCAGAAGAGTGGACCCATTGGAGAATTTTTAGTACATGCAACCATGCCTTTTTCTTTCTGTCCAAAACTGATGTTTTGCAAAACTTGCACTAACAAGTTTCTGATTTTGTCAGACTAACCTCACCACCCTCTTACTCATCCAAGGAGACAGTGAGCTGGAGAATTTGGCCACCCCAAGAGTTGCCTAGATGCCATTGGCATTTTGTCAAACACCCTGAGTGCATGACCAGTTTTGGCTTAGTTTCTGGTTTGTGTTATGAACTTGATCCCCTGACTAGACCAGCATGTCACATGGATTTGCCCAAGCCTATAGCTCCACCCTGCTAACTCTCTTGTGGATTGGAGCACTCTACGATACCCTGACATTTTGTCGAGCACGTAGCGAGCGTGCTCTGGGCGCGCCCAGAGCGCGCGTTTTGCACGTGCGTGCGCTTGGGTTGCCGCGTCGCGCCCCGGCCCTTGCTCTCCTGCAGAGCCGCACCCCCGACCTCATCCGCTCGCAGGAACCAGCCAAGCCCTCCCCTGGCGCCCTACAGGGCCGCCGTCAGGTCGGCCACGGCGGCAAGCGGCCGGCCATAGTGGCTCCTGCCCCGGTCGGGGCCGCCCGAGCCACCCCGGCTCGCCACCTGCCCCCTGGAGCAGCGCGAGCTCATCCACAAGTGTGTCCCCTAGCGCTTGTCGCAGCCACGACCCCCTGCAGCAATAGAGAGGCGGTTCGCCGGCGACCTTATCCACTGCCGCCGCGGAACCGACCTCGTTGCACTATAAAGGGAGACCTCGAGCTCATCTGAGCACCCATGCGACCTCAGTCCACTCCCCTAGTTCCCCCATAGCCAACAATCGAAGAGAAGAGGTCATCTTCCCCAGCTCCGGCAGGACCAGCCGCCGACGCCCTCCAGTCCATTCGGTCACAACCCAAGCCCCTCCCGTCAAACTAGCGCCACCATTCAAATCCCCGTGATCACGTGCTTCCCAACACCTCAATCCAGCTCGGGAACCACCATAGCCCCGGCCCTCAAAAGCTCCCGAGGCCACCTCCGCCCAGGAGCTCGCCGCCGGCAGCTCCCTCCTTCCCCTCCGGCCTGGCGACCACCAGGAGGACCTTCCTGGGGTGGCGGATCCATCCCCGCTCTCGGGGCCCCGCGAGGAGATGCCAATCGCCGGCGATGATCGCCGGAGTCCCGCCCCCCTCTCGGGCAGAGGAAGAAGAGGGAAAGGAGACCGGTCAAACCTGACCAGTGGGCCCCGTGGACGCACTGTCAGTGACCTCACACCGGTCCACGTGTTTAAGTGAAAGCGCATCACCCCAGAGTACGTCTCCTCTGCTCGAAAGCGTATTCTAATCGAAGCGTTTTTCTT